TTCGTCTTTCTCTCCGCAAGCCCATTGAGTCTTTAGCCAAAAGTGTCCAAAACAAGAATCAAATGATAGCCACCCATCACCGTTTAATTGTTATGAATGTTGAGAACGTGGGATGGAGATTTAATATTTAAAATATATCATTATTTGTAATGTAATTTGTAATTATATTATTTGTAATTCTTTTTAATTTGTGCAATGACCAAGATTCAAAATTATTCAATCATTAAAATAGAATCATCAGCAAAGAGGACTAATAAATGATCCAGAAAAGCAATTCTAAAAACAAGCCATCCTCTATTCCATACCAGGGTCAGGCACTGAATATCAATGAATGGTTATAAAAATAGGGAAATGGGTGGGCATAGGCAACTACAAACCTTTCAATAAGCTAGTTGTGATTAACTCAGGATTGTACGAGAGGGGAAAATAATTTGGACTTTGGGGGGGCGGGGTTGTTCCATCTTTGGATTTGGGTCTCTTAAAATAAGACATAAGAGAGAATCCATGGAAATCCAAATCATTCAAGAAATTAAACAGGTCCTTCAATATAGGAGTAACTGTAAGAAACGAAGAAGTGTGTTAGAACTGCAAATGGAAGAAAGGCAACTCCATCACACTGAATGACTTACGAGGGAGCTTGAGTATAAGGAGCTGTGTTGAAAGACAGTGTTATATGGGATATTAATGTGGCAAAGGAGACTATACCAATGAGATGGTCTCCTGGCCTGTAATAGCTCCATAGTTTTCTTCCATCATGTTCCTCCAAACTCAGCAGGCACTTCATTCTCAGCTTCCCAGAGACTGGCTGGGACATCAGCAGCAGCAGAAGCAGAAGGAGGAGGTCCATCATTCATGGGGATGAATCAATCCCCTTCCTGTTTCTAAGGAAGAACAAGAGCTTTCGAAGAATTCAAAGCACCATTCAAAAATGGAAACGAGAGTGACTTTTTTGATTGAGAGAGATAAACAGAACTTCACCTGGAAAGGAGATAAAGGAAAGGTACATTCAAGAAGCACAGTCCCTGAATGTCCCAAAATTTGTGCCACATGGAGTTTGACCTGAGACATTTATCCTTTTCTCATGCAAGATTCCTTTCTAGTTGCTTCAGTCTGATGTTTACATCAAAGGCAATCACTGGAGAAATATCAGGAGAGATCTCACAGATCAGGATTTTAATAATTACTGTAAGAAGCAACATCTCCTCTGGGGATCCTGAACTACTTCTGGGCCTCCATGTGCAGAGGAGAAGCTGGAGAAAAGCATAGTGAAAAATCATAGATATACCCCTAGAGGGCACTGGTGTGAAGTGGTTGTGGTCCTTCCTTTCTGAACATGTCTAGAAAATGATGCTGAAGAAAGGTAGTTGACACCCAGGATATTGGGTGTTGTCCTTCAATGTACTCTCTTGTCTCCAGAGACTCCTGGGGAAGGTCACCCAGAACTATAGAGTTTGCTTCCACTTTAGTGTCAGACCTGGAAGCCATCTTTTACATTTGGGCCTTCAGCCCACCACATTTTCTACTGTGGGAAGATGGGAGGTTGGATTGCATAGATCAGTGGTCACCAACCGGTGATCCGTGGCGCAGTGGTGTTCTACAAGAAAATTTTGGTGATCTGCAGTGCACCAGGGTGGAGGAGCTGCTCCGGTATGAGCAATGGACAGTCCTGTGACTAGAGCTCTGGAATATGGAACTGGCCAGGCAGCTCATGGTGGGGCTGTAAATCTCCCCTGTAGAGGGAGGTTCATGCAACTTGCAACTTTGTAGCACAGCCCTCGCTGGCCAGAATGAGATAATGGTGCAAAGGGGGGTGGCAGTGCAGGTGGGCCGAAGCAATGGGTGGCGGGAACCCTGGACTGTTTCTCCCCCCTGCTGTAGCTTCCTGTCAGCTGAACCCACCAGTAGCTGTCCCCACCCCTCGTTCTCCCTTCTCAGTCACTCCTCGCCTGGCGAGGGAAGGGCAGAGGATGGAGATTCACTCCATATTCCAGAATAAGAGTGAAGTTTTGTCTCTTGCTGGATCTCGCAGCCATTTCTTCCGGCCCTTTTTGGTGCTCTGTGCACCTCGGTCTCTCAGGGAGATGCTTGAATTCCTCTCAGCCCCAAGACACTGGCTGGCCCATGAGATGAGAGAGAGAAAGAGAATCAGAGAGAGAGAGAATCAGAGAGAGAATGAAAGAGAGAGAGAATGAGAAAGAGTGGGAGAGAGAGAGAGAAAGAAAGGGGGAGAGAGATAAGAGAGGGAAAGAGGGGGAAGAGAGATGAGACAGAGAGAAAGAGAGAGGGGGAGAGGGGGAGAGAGAAAGAGAGAGAGAGAAAGAGAGAGAGAAAGAGAGAATGAAAGAGAGAATGAAAGAGAGAGAAAATGAAAGAGAGAGTAAGAGAGAAAGAGGCAGAATGAATGAGAGAATGAGAGAGAGAGAGAAAGAAAGACAGAGAGAAAATCAGAGAGAGAGAGAGAGAGAGAATGAAGGAGAGAATCAGACAGAATCAGAATGAGACAGAGACAGACAGACAGACAAACAGAGAATGAAAGAGACAGTGAGAGAATCAGAGAGAGAGAGAGAGAATGAAGGAGTTATGCGGGTAGTTACGGGAGTTCCTTGTTACTCCCATGCAACACCTCTCCTGCGCGAGCTGCACTGGCTGCCGGTTGCTCTTCAGGTCCATTTCAAGGTGCTGGTACTTACCTATAAAGCCCTACATGGCTTAGGCCCGGGGTACTTGCAGGACCATCTTCTGCCTTCCTCCCACCATCCCATGCGCTCCCACAGAGCAGGCCTCCTCAGGGTGCTGTCGGCCAAACAATGTTGACTGGCGGCCTCCAGGGGGACCGCATTCTCTGTCAGAGCACCGGCCCTCTGGAATGATTTGCCCACCGAGCTCAGGATAGCCCCAGACCTCCTCTCCTTTCACCGTGAACTGAAGACGTGGCTCTTCTGTCAAATAAATTGATCTGCTAGGGGTTGAACAAATTGTAATAATTTTAAATATGGTTTTTAAGGTGTTTTTTAACTTATTTTGTGATTTTGTGATTTGTATTATTAATTGTTGTTGTAAGCCACCCTGAGTCCTACATTGGAGAATGGCGGCATATAAATTGCAAAAAGAAAGAAAGAAAGAAAGAAAGGAAGGAAGGAAGGAAGGAAGGAAGGAAGGAAGGAAGGAAGAAAGAAAGAAAGAAAGAAAAGAAAGAAAGAAAGAAAGAAAGAAAGAAAGAAAGAAAGAAAGAAAGAAAGAAAGAAAGAAAGAAGCACTTGGGGAAGAAGATGCAGCCCAGCAGTCCAGTACCAGAAGCCAAGATGGAGAAAACCTGCACAGCCACCATGTATTTCCCTTTGGCGCTCAAGTAGGTGGGCAGGAAGGAGATCCAGACGCTGCAGAAGACCAGCATGCTGAAGGTGATCAGTTTGGCTTCGTTGAAGGCCCCAGGCAGGTTCCTGGCCAGGAAAGCCACTGTGAAGCAAATGGCAGCAAGGAAACCCATGTAGCAGAGAACCACATAAAACATGGTCACAGAGCCTTCATTGCACTGAAGGATGATCACTCCTGATTGGGAGTGCAGGTCAAAATCAGGAAATGGAGGAGAAATTCCCAGCCAGATTGCACTTTTCTTCCAACTCGCACACACTGGAGCCTATCAATAAGAAAATCCAATACCCAATTACACAAAGGTGTGTTAAATCCTAATAGGCCCGTTTTGTTCACCAACTGCTGAGGAATTATTGTGTTGAACGCCAAGCTAAAATCAAGAAGGAGGCAGTCTCACATGAGTATTCTTCTCCTCCAGGTGCGCCAAGCTAAGATGAAACATGCAGGAAAGTGCATCATCTACAGAGCGCTTCATCGAATAGACAAACTGTAATGAGTCAAATATAGGGGGAAGGCATGAAACCATATAGTCCTTTACCAATCTAGTAATTTCTTCTCTGGGGTTCCTGAGTCTTTTAGGGCCCTATGTGCAGAGGTCTATGGAGCTTCTCATTCATCCAGGTCATGGTTGTCCCAAAGGTGCTTTTATTTCAAAGGCATCTGGACTTTCGAATTTTTCTTTAAGACATTTTGCTTCTCATCCAAGAAGCTTCTTCAGTGGCAGAGTAAGATTTTGGGGGATGTGGAGTCATTACTGCATTTATTTATGAACTAATTGCCTTGTGGACCTCACTAGCTCTTGATGTCCTGTACCCAATCACACACTTGCTGTTGCCCAGGCCTAATCATTTCACTTGCTTCTGTTCTCAATCCCTTGTATGCATACATTTACATAATATAAAAAGGAGGGAATCCTCCCTTCTTTAGGCCCATCCTTTTGCCCTGAATATCAATAAGAAAAAAATGTGCTTCAACAGAAAGTTCTCCTGGTCTCTGGTTCAAATGTATCTTTAGAAAATCCACACACCTCCTTGTGAAAGTCTTTACCCTAGTTTCTGTCCTCTACATTTTTGCTGATTTTCCTTTCCAGCCATTGATACTGTTGGTGCCATACAAGATAGTATTCGCTTTCTTCCTTTTCCTGGAGTTCATTCTGTCCATTTCAATTTGTAGTGAAAAGTTATAACATTGGAATTAGACATTTAATAATTACTCTTTATTAAACTATATAAGCTCAATGACATATATTCTGTTGATGACAAAAGAGTAAATGTAAAATGTTAGGTGGGTTTGTAGGTGGTGGGTTTTTTGTTTGTCTTTGTATTGTATTGTATTGTATTGTATTGTATTGTATTGTATTGTATTGTATTGTATTGTCTTTATATCTGTGTTTATATTTTAATAATAAAAAAAATTTAAAAAAAAATTATAGAAAAAAGAAAAAAGAAAATCCACACACACACAACCATAGCATCCATGCATACCCACACCCTTTCCCATACACTGAACAGCAAAAGGAAAGGGGGAAAACACATCTATTATAACTGGGAGTCCGTTTCTACCACATAAAGAAATGACTCATTTTTTAAAATTTAATTTAAAAAGCATTAAAGTATCAAACACCATTTAGTACATTTATTAACTGAGATTTCTGGGAAACACATGAGTGGTGCGGTGGCCTGGAGGTGGAGCTCTTGCCTCACAATCAAGAGGCTGTGAGTTCGATCCTAGATAGAGGCAGATATTTCTCTCTCTGGGCACAACGAGAATATATCTGCTGAACAAATCTCCGAATTGGCGTCTGGAAGGGCATCCGGCCAGTAAACACTCTGCTAGCTCCATTCAGTTGCCTGGACTCCACCCTGTGAGGGATTATGGGGTCGTTAAATGAAGAAGATGATGGTTTCTGGGAAACACATACAGAGAACTCAATTTTCTGTTTTATTTTGACATCATACGTTCTTTTGTATTCAGATCTGGTCTTAGGAAAATAATGTAACATTTGGGGAGAAAAATTAATAGCAACAGGCTGGCACTGGAAGCCAACATGGAGAAGACTTGCACGGCAACCATATACTTCCCCTTGGTACTCAGGTAGGTGGGTACGAAGGATATCCAGACACTGCAGAAGACCATCATGCTGAAGGTGATCAGTTTAGCTTCGTTGAAGGCCCCCGGGAGATTCCTGGCCAGGAAGGCCATTGTGAAGCAGATGACAGACAGGAAACCCATGTAGCCAAGAGCAAGGTAGAACATGGCAACAGAGCCTTCATTACATTGCAGGATGACCTGAGAAGACTCTGAGTACATGTCCGACTCTGGGAATGGGGGAGAGGTGCCCAACCAGATGCTGCAGATGACAACTTGGACCCCAGAGCAAGAAAGTATGATAGAGTTGGCCAAGCTCTTCCCCAGCCATCTTTGCACTTTACTCCCTGGTTTTGTGGCCAAGAAGGCTAACACCACCATGACAGTTTTGGCCAAGACAGTAGAAATGGCAACTGTAAAAATGTTGCTGAATGCTGTTTGCTGGACAAGGCACGTGGTTACTCTTGGCTGGCCAATGAATAAGAATGAGGTCAAGAATGAAAACAGGAGGGAGATGAGGAGGATGCAGGAGAGATCACGATTGCTGGCTTTGACCATGGGAGTTTCTTGAAATTTAATGAATACTCCGAAGATGAAACCTGTTGCCAAAACCAGGAACAAGGCAAAGGAAGCTAGGATGATCCCCAATATTTCTTGGTAGGATAGGAAAGTTTCAACCTTAGGTATACATCCATCTCGGTTGATGCTTGGATGCTGACCCACTGGGCATTTCGTGCATTTTTCAGCATCTGAAAAGAACAAGATTAACATCTACCATAAAGCAGATTCTTCCATAACATGCAGAGTTGGAAAAAAACTAACGATAATGTCAAAGAATGTGTGTGTCAGCCCTGGAGCCATTTTCCCCCTCCACCTTCAGGACTGCCACAACGGAGATGAGTCGAGCTGTGGGTACAGGAGGGGGGAGGTAGAGGTAGCTGGGGGATGGTATATTAGTATAGTATATTAGGAATATGACATGCCTAATAAATCTATACTTTGAGGAACTTGCCTGCCTTGGAGTTTTGATTCCATTGAGTGTGTTACTTGGAACCCTGACAGTGTATGGAGAAAGGAAGTATGCAGCAGTAGTTAGCAAGTTTAAGCAATCTATTGCAGAGGAGAGGAGAGGAGAGGAGAGGAGAGGAGAGGAGAGGAGAGGAGAGGAGAGGAGAGGAGAGGAGAGGAGAGGAGAGGAGAGGAGAACAAAGCAGAGCATCAAAATTTCTCCATTTCTGCAGAGACACCAAGAAAAAATGCCAGAGGTTCACCAATAAATAAGATGAAGAAAGAGAAATGCCATTTCTCTTCTAATTCCAATTCTTGATTGATCTGCTGTTTTTGATATCCTGCTCCCTATTTAAATTACCAGACTATTTCTTTTAACTCCCTATAAATTATACATATTAAAAGAAATTATTTTTTAAAGTCAAGTTTAAAAATGCCTTTCAAAACATGCTTTCATGAGCCAGTCAGAGGCCGTGGTCTTCCCAAAAGTGTGCCTCTTTTTCCTGCTATCTCTCACCTTCCATGGTGGAGATGGTTCCTTCTGGACATGGGAGACAATGGTAGCAACAGATGGGTTTCCCTTCCAAAACCACCTTCATGAATCCAGGATGACAGCTTTCTACACACCTGGAAGTCGGTAAGGTCTGAGGAATCAAAGGAAGTACATCCAGAAAAATCAACATGTAGACCAACTGAATATCTCATAAAGATGATATTTGGACTCTTGAGAACCTGATCAGCTGACATAAAAACTCAAAAGCAATGAAAGAAAACACACACATTCCCTGTGTTCCCTACTAAATGTTTTTGCCACATTTAGTAGAATAAAATAAATATTAATCCCAGAGTGTCAGCATTTCTACCTGTCCAACGTTCCTCTGGTCAATGGTAACTTTAAAATCCTGCGTTGTCTGTTTTTCTAGACTTCCAGTTTTCATTCTCTTAACAGATTTGTTTGGAAAAACGATCCAGTTCAAAATGTCCAGATCAGCTGTCAGATCTCCTTTCTCATCCAAATATATCCCAGCTATGGAATTATTATGAAACTGAGGGTTTTGAAGGAAAGGGTGAAGCTGGAAAGGAAAGGGAAAGAAAAGTTTAGAAAGGACATTGGAAGTGTTTGTTTGTTTGTTTGTTTGTATCCCACTTTTATTACATTTACAGATAATTCAAGGTGGCAAATTTATGCAACACACCTTCCTCCTCCTACTTTCCCCACAACAACATCCCTGTGAGTGAGTTGGGCTGAGAGAGAGTGACTGACCCAAGGACAGCAAGCCAGCTTTCGTAGCTAAGCTGGGACTGGAACCTTTTGGTCTATGTTGGGGAGTATCTGAACATAACATCTGAGCATAACCACCATGTGTGAAAGAAGGTACCTTGCTTTTGTCCACATTTCCAACAATTGGGGTTTATATTTTATATTTAACAGCTGATAAATTGTGCAAGGTATATAGGAATTTCAAATGAATGAATAAAACAGAGTTGGAAGGGACTGTAGAGGTCTTCTAGTTGAACTCTCTGCTCAAGCAAGAAACCCTATACCGTTTCAGACAAATGGTTGTCCAACCTCTTCTTGAAAATCTCCAGTAATGGAGCATCTACAACGTCTAGAGGCAAATGGTTCCACTGATTAGTTGTTTTCAGGAAAATTCTCTTTAGTTCTAGGTTGCTTCTCTCCTTGATAAGTTTCCTTTTTTTTTTAATTTTTAATTTTAAAAAACAAACTTTATTGAATTTAAAAATATTAACAAGAAAAAAAGAGAAAATATACAGATTTTCTCACTCATAAAATTTACATTTTCCCATGCCGGGAGTCCAAATCCACCTCTAGTTTTATCATCTTGTAGTATACTTAATTTAATTCTTGATTTTTTTCCCTTCCCACACAAATTTTGTAGTCATTTTGTCCAAATCGCTAAAAAACTTCTTGTCTAATTTTATTGGGATTGTTTGGAATAAATAAAGGAGCCTTGGTAGTATATTTGATTTTATTGCTGCAATTCTCCCTAACAGTGACAATTTTAATTTTCTCAATTTTTCCAAATCTTCTTTTATTTTTTGGACCAAAGGTCCGTAATTATTTTCTTTTATTGTTGTACTTCTGGCTGTCATGTTTATCCCTAAGTATTTCACTTTTTTAACTACCTGCAATCCTGAATCTTTTGCTAACTTCTCTACCTGTTTTGCTATTATATTTTTTGTTATCATTTTAGTCTTCTCCTTGTTAATTTTTAGATCGGCTACCTTTCCAAATTCTTCGATTTCTTTTATTAATTTGGGTGTTATTTTTATTGGATCTTCTATGAAGAAGACAAGGTCGTCTGCAAAGGCTTGGATCTTGTATTCTTCTTTTATTTTTAATCCTTTTATTTCTTTATTCGACCTAATTCTAATTAGCAAGTTTTCCAGAGTCATAATAAAAAGTAAGGGCGACAATGGGCAGCCCTGCCTTACTCCTTTACTTATTCCAAAAAAATTTGTTGGGTCCCCATTTACTAATACACTAGCCTTTTGGTTCTTATATATTGACAGTATCATTCTTGTAAATTTATCTCCGAAATTCATATTTTTAATTTGGTATGTCATGAACTGCCGGTTGACTTGGTCAAATGCCTTTTGTGCATCCAGAAATATCAATGCTACCTGTCTTTCTGGATGCATCTCATAATATTCTAAAACATTTATCACCATTCTTATATTATTTTTTATTTGTCTTGTAGGCAAGAAACCATTTTGATCCTGATATATTCTATTATTTAGTATTTTTTTCATCCTATTTGCAATTATGCCCATAAAAATTTTATAATCGGTATTTAATAAGGAGATTGGTCTATAATTTTTTATTGATGTGGTATCTGCCCCCTTTTTCGGTATCAGGGAAATATATGCTTCCCTCCATGGATTTGGTAACTTTGCCTCCGTCAATGCCTCATTATATAATTCTAATAATGTCTCATTTAATGAGTCCCCTAAACTTTTATAAAACTCCATTGGTAGACCATCGGTCCCTGGTATTTTGTTATTTTTTTGTCTCTTCAGTGCTTCTTTTAACTCCCCCATTGTAATTTCCTTGTCTAGTAATTCTTTTTCTTCCTCTGTTAATATTGGCATCCCTTCACCACTTAAGTATTTTTCTATTTCCTCTGTTGTTACTTCATCTTTCTCATAAAGCTCTTGGTATTATTGAATTATTATCTCCTTTTTCTTCTCTAAACTCTGTTGGATTATTCCCTTTTTGTCCTGTAATTTCTGAATTATTCTTTTTCCCCTCTCTTTCCTCAACCTAAATGCTAACCACCTCCCCGGCTTGTTTGCTTGTTCGAAGTAATTTTGCCTCATGTATTTCAATGTCATTGCGTATTTCCCCTGTTCTAATATGTTCAAATTATGTTTCGCTGCCATCCAATTAATCCTAATTTGTTCATCTCCCGGATTCCCTTGTAACTTTCTTTCCCATTTTTGAATTTCTTCTAATGCTTTATTGTACTCTTTTTCCCTCTCTTTTTTCCATTTTGCATTATAGGCTATTGTCAAGCCTCTTACATACGCCTTAGTTGTGTCCCATAAATTTTGTAGGGAGGTGTGTTGTTTTGTGTTTTCCTTATAAAACAATTGTAATTCCTTCTCCATGTACTCCTTGTATTCCTTTTCTTTCAGGGTCTGTATATTCATTGTCCATTTACTTTTTTCCCTCCACCGTCCCTTCCATGTTAACGTTATTGGGTCATGATCCACCCATTTATTACTCAATATTTCTATGGATTCTATTTCTGGCATCAACGTATTAGTAACCCATGCCATGTCTAACCTCGACCAGGACCTATGTGGGTTCGAATAGTATGTAAAATTTTTAACTTCCGGGTTATAAAATCTCCAGCTGTCTACCATATTTAACTCTTCTACTAAGTCTTTAAATGTTCTAGGGAATACATTTTTCTTATTTTTATTTCTCTGACCACTTTTATAATCTTTTCTTATGTCCATAATCGCGTTAAAATCACCGATCAAACACACATTTTCTATTTTTTGTTCTATTATTTTCTCGTGTACATTTTTATAAAATTCTAATTGTCGGCTATTTGGAGCATATATAGCCACCAATAAAATGTTTTTACTGTTAATCTTCAACTCTATCATCACTGTTCTCCCTATCATGTCAACATATTTTAAATTGCTATCTATTCCTTCTTTCACATATACTGCAACCCCTCTTTTTTTCTCCTCCGCCAATGCTACATATGCTTTGCCTAGTTTCTTATATTGTACATAATTTTCATCTTGTTTTCTTATATGTACCTCCTGGAGGCACACAATATCTGTTTTTTGTTTCACAATTTTTCTTAAGATTTGGTGTCTTTTGGATGGTGAGTTGAGACCGTTTACATTCAAAGATAGAATTTTTAACTCTTGTTCCATTTCTTAATGGTTTTCCTGTTGTTTCTTTTTTGTTTCTTCCTGTTCCTCCCCCCCCTTGTTTGTACTCCTTCTTCCTCTTGAATCTCTCCTTCCTCCTCCTTTTCTCCTTCCTTTGACACTCTTTCATGCTCTCGTCTCTGTTTTCCTCTGGCGTTCCATCCCAATTCCTCTTTACTATTACTTGTTATTTAATTACCCATCACTTGATCATGTAGTTCTCTTGCTTTGCTTTGTGTGTCCACCCTTATTTTCTTTCCCTGCCACGTTACCAGCATCCCTTCTGGTATTATCCATCTAAAGGGTATATATCTCTTGTTTAGTAACGTGGCTAAAAACCAATAATCTTTCCGCATCTCTCTTATTCTTTTAGGGATTTGTTTCAGGGTAATTATTTCTTTGTTCCTGTAATACATGGGATCATCCTTTGTTATTTTATATACAATGTCTCTGACTTTTTTTCTCACAAATCGTATATGTACTTCCCAGGGTAATTTGTTTTGTCGTGCATAATTTGTATGGACTCTGTAAACTTTGTCCAATTCATTTATTATTTCGTCCTTCTCTCTTTGGAGGGCGTATGCTATCATCTCCGCAATTACTAACGTTAGGCCCTCCTCTTTGTCTTCAGCCACATTTTGGAAGCGTAAATAAAATTCAGCTCTTTCCATCTCTAATTGCGCCACAGTATTCTCTAATTCTTTATTTAGTCCCATCATTTTCAAATCTAAAGATTCCAAATTTTCTTCAGTCAATTCTGTTTTCTTTTCTATGGCTATTATCCTTTGATCGTTTTTTGTTATAATTTCCTGTATCGAATCCATTTTTTCATCTATTTTCTGGATGTCACTCTTTACCTCTCTCTTAACCTCATCCATGTCCTTCCTGGTTTCTTCGTGATTTCTGGTCATACACTCCTGCATCTTAACCATAGTCTCTTGTATTGTTATGAGTGTAGCCTGCATTGTTGGCATACTTAATACAGTTGACTGCTTCTCTGATGAGAACATTCCCTCCAGGGTCTTCTGTGTCACTGGAGAGGCTGCTGGTCCAGTTAGTATTGATGCAGTTTTCTTCCCTGTTTTCAGCGTCGTTGTAGTGGTACTCGTCATCTCCTTAAGTATTCTGTATTGTTCCACCAATATCTTGTCTACCTTCTCCCAAATCACCATCCAAATTCTATATAACTTCTTTCTTTCTCTGCTTTCTTTCCTTTTTTTTCCTCCTAACTTGTTTTCATGTATTCAGTTCCTTAATACTTATATTATACAATTTCTTGTAAATACAGTTTCTCCAAAGTCAGCACTCCTACCTATTAATCAATCAATTAATCAGTCAATCTATCTATTGTTCAATAATCAATTAATTAGTAAATACTTAATTACTACTATATAAATTACTACTACTATGTGAATACTTAATTAATTGTCAGCACTCCAACTTATGCTCTCTTCCAGTGCTGTCATGAAGACCAGAAGTGCTGAATTATTGCTGAGATGAACTTTTACCTAGTTTTCTGCATGCAAGAGATAGGGTTTTCTGGGGGATGAGGGTGGGGGTCACATTCCTGTGAGAAGTACGTGCCAGGACGGAGAGATGGATTGGCTAATGGCCAATGAGAAATCGGGTTGGAGAGCGGAAGAGGAGGGGGTTGGAAGGAGGGGCCAGTTGAGCTGCAATTAGCCTCAGAAATGTCGGCTATTTCTGTTCTTAATAAAGAATGATTCATTAGAGACTGCGCTTGAAAATGAAACTTATTTTAAGACAGAACCGAAACCTGACAGACAGCTCAACTCACCTCCAAATCCAGGCTGGCTGAGTTTAAATCATCCCGTTCCCTCCCACACAACTGGTCGGACGGACTATGGCTGAAGCCAAGCTATCGGAGGAAAGCCTGCTTCAAGAAACGGGAGGAGCAGAAGCGGTCGTGATTCCAGCCAACTTGGAAAATACAAAGGTTCAACTTTCTCCACCTTCCCCCCCCGCAGAACTTCAAGCAAAGAAACGTGAAGCAGATAAGTACCCGGGGACTGTGCCAAAAGCCTTAAAGGCGGAATCCCCTATTGCAAAGTTAAAAGATAAAGAAAAACCCCTAAGTGAATTGGGAAGGGCGAGCTGGGGATGGGAATGGCAGCGAAGCCCAGACAAGGCAGCACCTCCCCACCCCAGGATGAGAGACGAGGCAGAGGACTATCAACACCAGGGGTGGCCCTCCAGAGCTCAGCACAGAGAGGAGAGGGCAGAGAGGGAGGAGCCACCCCAGTTCAGAGGGAAGTTCGATGGTGACCCAGACAACCTCGCCCAATTCCTCGATTCAGCTGAGATATACATAGAGCGGTTCGGACACCTCTACCCTTTCCCCAGAGCCCTAGTGAATGCTATCAGGGAAGGGCTGGAGGGAGAAGCAAAGAGGTGGTCAGCATCACTCTACAAATACAGGGTCCCCCAGCTACAAAATGCGGATGGGTTCTTGCAACTATTGAGAGCCCGTTATGAGGAGGAGGAGGAGGACCCCTATGTAGAAGACGAACTCAGAAACCTAATGCAGAGGGGGAAGCCTATCAGAGAGCATATCCGTGAATTCAGGAGAGTCATTGGGACACTGCCTCCCCTACCAGAGCGATTGCTGATGTATTTTTTTAGAACAAGCCTAGATAAAAGAATTTCCCAAGTGACTGCCTATCGTGACATCCCAAACCGACTCGCTGAATGGTTCCGGGTAGCGATAAAAGTCGACAGAGGGCTGCGGGCGACTGACACGTCAAAACCACCAGAGGGAAAGGAGAGAGGCCGACCAGACCAGGGGCCACTCAACAGACGAGAAACCCCAACATCACAGCCCTCCTACAGACCAACTGCCCCACGGAGCCCACTGAAATGCTACAGATGTGGGGGAAGCGGCCACATAGCAGCAAGATGTGGAACGCCTAGACCGGGACCAGCTCCACCGCCCAAAGCACGACCGGAACGAGGGCCCAACCGCGTCACCCACGTACCGCAGGAAACTCCCCAAATCCCTGAGTTTTTCGCTCATCTGACCGAAACCAGAGGAATCCCAGATGAGGGAGATCAGTTCCCCGAACCCTATGACACGGAAGACGAAGGCGAGGATGACCCGATGGTGAGTGGACCCGTCCATCCTTTTCTTTTCCCCATACGCCTAACAGCCCCCAAAACAGGGGCCCAAGAGACTTTCCAAGCCCTAATAGACTCGGGTAGCACACGGTGCCTAATCAACCTACCCACAGTTCTAAAATTGGGAATCCGAGCTAAACAGCTCAAACAACCAATTCGCTTCGAGCAAGTTGATGGGTCCCTAGTGGGAGGAACATATGCCACACATTTGACTGAACCCGTGAGACTAGAACTCGCAGATCACTGGGAGACGATCCGCTTCATAATAGCCCCCAAGATGACAGAACCAGTCATATTGGGACTCTCATGGCTCGACAAATGGGGCCCAATCATTTGGTGGCAAGAGGGAACCCGCAGGCTGAGAATAGCAAAGGGGCCCCAACCCCTGCCGCCCCGACCAGAAGAATTTCCTCCCACGCTGAAACCCCAAAGCAGCCCTCCACTACAGAAGAAAACACCACCAACACAAGGCTCCCTCCCAGAAGGTGCAGCAAAACAATTGGCAGCCGCACCCACCACCGCTTGTAACGCAAACCAGATCCCAAGGGAGTACCAAGACCTTGCAGGGGTATTCAGCGAGGCCGAGTGTGACATCCTGCCCCCCCACCGCGAGACCGATTGTGCCATCGAGATTATCCCAGGAGCGAAACTACCCAAACCTAAAATGTATGCTATGACGCCCCGAGAAATGCAGGAAATGCGGGACTACATAGACAAAAACTTACAAAGGGGATTTATTGAGCCAGTGAAACCAAGGGTAGCGGCGCCGGTCATGTTTAAAGAGAAAAAGGACGGCTCCATGAGACTGGTGGTCGATTTTCGAAGTATCAATGCTGTTTGCGTACACAACTTGTACCCTCTCCCCCTCATGAAAGACATGTTAGCCCACCTAGCTAAAGGAAAGGTTTTCACCAAACTAGACCTTCGAGAAGCTTATTACCGAGTACGCATAAGGGCAGGAGATGAATGGAAAACAGCATTCAACTGCCCCCTGGGCAGTTTCCAGTTTAAAGTAATGCCTTTTGGATTGCAAGGAGCCCCGGCAGTGTTCATGCAGTTAATAAACGAGGTCTTACATGAACACCTTTACAAAGGGGTCCTCGTCTACCTGGACGATATTCTTATCTACACGGAGACCATAGACGAACATATACCCCTCGTCCGCCAAGTACTGGAAAAACTGCTACGGGCAAACCTATATGTCAAACTGCCAAAATGCGATTTCCACCAATCACGGCTAGACTACCTGGGCTACCGAGTATCAAATGAGGGGATAGAGATGGACCCAGCCAAGGTCCAATCAGTTCTACAATGGCAGCCCCCTCGCACCCGCAGACAATTGCAAAGTTTTCTAGGTTTTGCGAATTTCTACAGACAATTCATCCCCTCGTTTGCGAAGATTGCCAAACCTTTGACAGACCTCCTAAAGACAGGAAGCCCAGCGATGAAACCTCGCCCGGGACAACCCCTACAGTGGGACCTGACCTGCCAACAGGCATTTGAGACGCTAAAAGGACTGTTCGCGAAAGAACCTGTCTTAAAACACCCGGATCCAGAACAGCCTTTTGTCATCCAAGCAGACGCAAGTGATGTGGCAGTAGGAGCTGTGTTACTCCAAAAGAACAACCAAGGGGATCTACAACCCTGCGCCTACACCTCCCGCAAACTCACCGATACGGAAAGGCGATGGGCGGCGTGGGAGAAGGAAGCGTTTGCAGTAAGGTGGGCCTTGTTGACCTGGCGGCACCTTCTAGAGGGAGGCCAGAAACCATTTGAAGTCTGGACTGATCATAAAAACCTAGAGGCCCTAAAAACCCCACGAAAACTGTCACCCAGGCAAGTACGGTGGGCACAATACTTCAATCGTTTCAATTTCGAGCTTAAGCACATCCCAGGTGGGAGAAATTTCCTGGCTGATGCTCTCTCCCGGATGCCCCAATACAACAGTGAGCGGGAGCAGGTAGTGAATGCCATCATCCCCTCCACCCAAGCTGCGGCCCAAGTGATCACCAGACGGCAACGACGTGACCAGCAAGGCCAACTTGCAAGTGACTTAACTGCAAAATTAAAAAATGAAATGCTGACAGACCCCTGGTATCGAGACAATCAACATCTCTTGACAAAAAGAGATGAACTAGCATGGAGGGGGACAAAGCTCTATGTGCCACAGAGTTTACGCATCCTGATTCTCAAGAGGAGCCACGATGTTAAACCAGCAGGACACTTCGGGTTCCTAAAGACTCTGCACCTAGTACGGAGGCAGTTCTGGTGGCCACATATGAGAAAGGACGTAGACAGTTATGTAAAAAGCTGCACCATTTGTGCCACGATGAAGACAAGGCCAGGGTGCCCGCCTGGATTGTTGCAACCAGTAGCTGAGCCAACAAGACCATGGGAGGAGATTGCAATGGACTTTATAGTAGACCTACCGAGGAGTAGTGGAAATACAGTGATCTGGACTGTAATAGACTTATTCTCCAAACAGGCACACTTCATTCCTTGTAGTGGACTGCCTTCAGCCCGTCAGTTGTCCAAACTGTTCCTGAAACACATTTACCGCCTACATGGAGTCCCCAGGAGAATCATTTCCGACAGAGGGGTCCAGTTCACAGCAAAGTTCTGGAGGGAGTTTCTACGATCCATAGGTTCATCCCAAGGGCTCAGCTCAGCATTTCACCCGAGTACCAATGGGGGGGCAGAAAGACTGAACGCTATGATAGAACAGTATTTAAGATGCTACGTCGACTACCAGCAGTCCAATTGGGCAGACCTCCTATCTTTTGCGGAGGTTGCATAT